ATATGATAATAATCTTAAAGAGACAACATGAACTAAGAATTTATTGCTATTTTTCCTTCTGATGTCCTATATCAGGATGCTATGTTCAACCCTGTCATCGAATATTAGGATACTCTGTAGTGTTCTACGAGGTGGTTCATCACGGGTACCAAATTGTGCACAGCAAGCAATTAATATCAATTTTTTCAACCGACACCAAGAACGGTAGAGGCAGCGGTCTCGGCTTGTTGCTTTTTGCATTCGAAGGATTTCGAGGAGACTGCTGACGGGCCATACGTATTCATTGCGCTGCCACCTACAACGTTGAATGCCTGTGGTACCTCTGAAGGAGCAGGTCTCGATGCGGCAGTTTTACCGACACGAACACTATGCTTGCGCCAGGCCATCCCGAATAAATGTCGAGGATCTAGATCCGTGGCTATCTTGATATTGCTGAACTGGATGAAAGCCAATTTGCCAAACAGCTGCACCACGCAAAGCGACACATCTCCGAAAATTAGAAATGTATTCACAAGGATTGTCTCAATCGAAGGAGGGTTCGTTCTCGATGGGGCTCCGCTATCAAAAACGGTGATCCTCAGTATCAGGTCAATTGTAGGAAGCATTATAGTGTTACTTGCGGCAAGCAGATTGTCAATCCAGTCGCTGAATGCTTTAAATATGTGCCTCGATTTCCAAGAGTAATAGAGCAGGGCCAGTAAAACCGCTTGTGATGGTAATATAACATTGGCAAACATGAGAATCCACCAGTGTTCAGTCGGTTGTAGAACTGCTAACGTAGCAGTACTTCCGGCTCCATAAATGGCCCACAAAATTACCACGGCAAAGGATCCAGTCATATTCGTATCTTCAATTCTGAATGCACTCGCCACGATTATTCTGTAGAGCAACCGCTGACGAGTAGAACTGCTATCGCAGCAATACTTCCGGCTCCATAAATGGCCCACAAAATTACCACGGCAAAGGATCCAGTCATATTCGTATCTTCAATTCTGAATGCACTCGCCACGAATATTCTGTAGAGCAACCGCTGACGAGCAACTTGCGCACCCAAAAAAACTAGCCAGCTGAAGTGCTTAACAGCTTCCATTAGTACATACAACCAATGGGGTACTATGGGAATCCCAAGCTCAGTCATTGTCAACAAGGTCTGCAGAATCACAGCAGTTGAAGTAGTAATCAGTATAATTGTCATATACAGCCTTCCTCGTGTCATCATCAGTGGATTTGTATGATGCCAAAGCCAGTATCCCACGGTAAGGAATACTTGGATTATCGTGTAGCAGCAGCCGATAAGAATAGTTATTATCGCAACTGTTTTCTCAGACACGGGAGACACGGGAGACATCAATGTAGTGTACTCATAGGCTACTGCGCACAGGGACCCATATACAATGAAATTCAATAGTAAAACGACGACATGACCCCAAACACCCAGAATGCTGTAATCACGTCCAGTTATGATTTTCTTTGTTCTAATTTGTTGTATAGTTTTCCATAAGCTGTACTTGTGAGTGCTCAGTGATGTATCCCCGGCGGTGGGTTCGGTGGTCCCATTTTGCACGATAGCATTCTGCACGACAGGAGAGGCAACCTCGATGGTACTTCGTGCTCCGGATATACCACTCCACGAGCTCAACTTGCTCAATTTTCTGCCGAGAGATGATTTAACTGTGCTGTCCACCGTTTGCACGCAGTCCACAAACACAGAATCCGTGCTAATGATCGCTTTGCTTGAACTTTGCTATGAAGAGGTTGAAGAAGAGGTTAAATCCATCGCGGCGTAGTGAAAGCTTCCCACGTTGCACAATTTCTCGTCTATGAATGTAGTTCTCACCAACCAGAGCAGTCCATTGGTACAGTCAGGTATCGCAGGCTGTTAATCGAGTGAGAATGACTATTTAAAAAGTAGAGCTTTTATGCTAAGTTACACGAGACATTTGATAATATATAGCAATGTATTCACAGTTTTACACAGATTTTGAAGGAATGTTTATTTTAATTTCAAATTCTTATATTTAAAAATATATCTGAAAATTGAACAAATGTTCCCTTCAACTCCAAAAATAAATATTATTGTCTTCGAGTTTGTCTAAAAATAAATTTGAAAATTGCTGATGGACATTCACAATTTGTTTTTAAAACAAAACTGATTCTCTTCAAACCTGAATTTTATAATATAAAAAACCCTATGCGTCATACTTGATTCTTGAAGCTCTTGATAAGTTAAAAAAATACTGCTGATACATTTCAATGATATCATAAGTTTCATAACTGATAAGGCTGCTCACACCGGTATTTTATTTTGAAACAAATTAATTTGAAATCCATATTTTTCGGCAATCGCCTTAGTCTAATTCTAGCCCACTTTTATTTTCAAATCAATTATTTCAACAACAAAATCGATTCTCCAAATCGGCAAATCGAAGAAAATTCACAGATTTTCTCAGCATGTGATTGAACAGGGTCATATGATTGAACAGGGTCATATTTATTACCCATTGAAAGCGGATATTAATACAAATGCGTCGGTAAATACCTTGAAGTAGCTAGTACGATGTCTATGAGGGAGTCTATGAAGTAAATCAGAGAGCTGGCTACGCGGTGGCTACGAGTAAAACAAAATTCAAGAAAAGGGCTCATTTTTAAACAAATATTCGACAAGCACGGCCCACTGGATTAGTAAGGTTGCGACTCGCGAGCAGAAATCAGGTTTCGTCTAAGCGGAGAGCCGGAGATCGTAAATTAGCAGAGACCCAAATCCTGAAATCCAGAGGGCCATGAAAAAAACCTGGCCCCCTGGATATGTCTGGAGCAGAAATCAGGTTTCGTCGTACCGAAAATGTAAATTGAGCACTGATGAACAAAATGTATTGCCTTGTTTTCTCATTTTTACATTCAGCATTGGAAATCAAATTATCGTTGGAATCGATTCATGAAAGCCACAGAGCCACACCCATCAACGGGATTTGGATTTGAATATGGTTAAAAACATTATTTTTAGCGGTGGACGATTGGACGTATTTAGCCTAGCATATCTATGTAAATATCCCTCAGCCCTCAGGCGCCTCAGCCCTCAGGCGCCTCAGCCCTCAGGCCCAGGGCAGACTTCAATTCGTAATACGTAAACACGCTTTCAAATTGATGCGTTAACGCAAAACGTAATACGTTTTAATACGTTAGTGGGGCCTTGGTTTGTGCCCGCCCTTATTTTTGGCATAATTCGCCAACTTTATTTCACCAAAATATTTGTTGGCCCTCAGGCCCTCACTCCCTCAGGCCTCAGCCCTCACAGTCACAGACTCGCAATCACAAAAATACAAACCGGCACAAGTGTGGAGGATTATGTATGTACAGTACGTATGTACAATTGTACACTGTAACTGTACAGTCAAACCTCGATTATTGTCCAACACCCGTTTTCAGCCAAAAGTTAGACTATAATTGGAGTGGACATTTATGGTTTGTGTTACAGTCAAGGGCTCAGAGCCCAGTATGCACGGCCATAAGGCTCTACTTCAGGAGAAAAAAAACTTGTTCCTTTTGATACGCATTTACGTCTTATCGTTGACTAACGCCAGAACAGCAAAAACTGCTACAAAATACATTCACTAGAACCTGCTATTATAGCCTATAGGTTTCACTAGAATCTGCTATAGAAGCGTTTATAGCCTATTAAATTGATTGTTACAGCTGTTCAATTCTGCAATGGAGGCGACAGTGGCTTGCACGTTTATTGTTTCGTTTGACATGCAGTAGCCTATACTACCAGTCTACCAAACAGCTCAGGGACTAGAACGCCACAAAAATCATGCATTGGCAGATAGCAACCAAGACACCTATGTACACCTACTATACTATATGATTGGTATTAGTACAAGTTTTAGCGCAGCACTGCATGATATGAGCTAGATTTCTATACAAAGTTTAGTACATTTGCATGTCTAAAGTGATCAAATTTTTTAAAGACATTCTCTTTCTTTCACATCATGATTTGTAACGCATTCTTTTGGGATAACAAGCACTAAGGTCTATGGCGAGTATGGTCTATGTAGCAGGAAAAAGTGGACAATTATTGGAGCAAACAAAAATGTGAGTAGACAATAATCGAGGGTTGACTGTACATACCTCTATTTATTTATTTATTTACCAGGTCAAGGCGGCCAGGGCCCAGGCTCAGTAACCCAGGACCTGAGGTCGAGGGCTGATGACTGAAGAGTGATGAGGGCTGAGGCGGCGTTGAGCCTGAGCCCGGCCGCAATGAGGCCCTGAGACCCGAGGCCTGAGGGCTGAGGCCCAGCCGCCCAGGGAGGCTAGTAGCCTAGAGTAAACCTTCGTGATGATTAATGTGCATTTGTGTGTATGCAGCCAATCAAGAAGTATTATAAAACAAGCATATTTTTTTTGTCAACATTTATTGCAATAGAGGATGGGCCATAATCTGTGGTCAGATTTATGATTTTAGATTTACGATCCTCATTACCTCAGATGGTCATTTTGGATATGTCATACAGCTATTTATAATGTAATATATTGTTCTGTAGTTAACAGTATTTTTAATGGAGTTCGGATCTGAAGGCGTATGTACAATTGACTCATGAGTCATGACCCTCTACTACTAATCTACTACTAGACTAGTAGAGAGAGAAAGAAAGAAAAATGCCACATATTTAATTTTAAGAGAGCTATGCAACGGACTATTAAACGTCCGTAGGACTTGTACATATTTACCACAAGAGAATACCAAAGAAGGCGCATTTAATATTTATGTATCACAATTGTCAATTGACTTGTGTACTGTTGTACTGATGTACATACCACAACAATTCCAAAGAAAAATGAAATCTATTGAGTAAAAACAAAATCTTGTATTTTGATTGGCTTCATATAAAACACTTGAAAACTGTTCAAAGTTCATTTTCGGATATCACTTTCCCCCGTGTGTTATGTATAATTATTAATTTATGGAAACTGATTAGTATATTATATCATAGGCTTCATAGCCTCCTAACCCCTACTAGTAGAACAAGGAGGTTATGTGTATGTTCTATTTAAACTTCATGTATGCCCATTCTGAGTATATTATTTTTTCCTATAGTCTCTTTTTCGTATTGGTAGGTTGAACAACTCCACAACTTTCCACCACTACCTTTTTCTTTGGCTTACCACTCTTCGCTCCCACGGCAGAAATTGCATCTAGCACGTCGTACGACACCTTGCATATATCCTCATCACTCTCATCTACCATTCCAAACACCACGTGTTTACCATCCTAATAAGTGCAAAAGAAATGAGCTAAATTGATATGGTAAAGAAGTGTTGTTGAGAATCAAGTTTTGAGGTTATCCTGGCTTCGGGGATAGGACAGTGAACAGTGTCAATTGAAGGACAGCCAGGATAACATATAAGAAAATCGTCATCACGTTATAGTTATACTAAGAATCCAGATATACTCATATCATATTGTTAGCGTAGTAACATGATACAGGATACTAATTTCTGTGTTACTTGACCCGCCGCTTGCTAGACGCTCTGCTTAAGGGTCTCTTGTAAGATGTGAGCTATTGACAGATCCAGTTGACGCTCGCGCACACTGTACATTTTGAGTAACTTTAGATCATGATGTAAAACTTGCGAGGTCGGTCAAATACTCAGTTTAAATCTGTATCACTCAGCATAGAACACGGACAGAAAACCAGAAATAAATCTACCAACGCTATTTCCGATAGCCACTTTTACGTACAAGATACTCGGCTTTTCCCAACAGGATGAAGAACTGGCTGCCATTGGTGTCTTTGCCTGCGTTGGCCATTGACAGTAGACCCGCCTTGCTGTGCTGTATAGTGCCATGCGTCCACTCGTCTTTGAACCGACCTCCATAGATGCTCTCACTCATTCGCTTTCCTTTAGAAATATCCCCGCCTGTAAAGCGGATCATATGAATATTAGCATAGTCACAGATACGGTGGATGGATACCACAATGGTATCTCGCCCTTTCGCTCAATTTTCACAGTCACAACGCAGCAGCAATACACAATGTGCATGGCCAATACATCTCACACTCTATTGCCAGACACGGCATCCCTTTGATATAGCTCATATGTTAAAAAACGAAATAAAGTAGCTACGCTCACAACCACAAAGATGGTGTATGCTACATTTCGGTAGAAATGACTATAGCTGTATATAGAAGGCAGAAGCTACTACGAACAGATGCGAGCTTACAATTGAATCGAACAGACCACGACACTGGTCTCATATAAAGAGGTATAGTGGTGGGTCGCAACTAGCAGTAGTAAGCAGTGGCGAAGTTACTGCTGCCTGTGCAGATAGTGTGCAATACAAGTCACCAATGCTACACATAGCAACACCGGTATACAAATACAAGTGTCATTAAGCTTTTCTAGATAGCATGATTTGCCTGGTGACAATTTATTCCTACTAGCCCTTGCTCACGACGGTACCAGGGTATTGTCGGGACTAAAACCAGTTGCCACCATGCCATGCGAATGAGTTGTCACACTCCGATTTAGCTGCAGGATCGATACACTTTTGCCTACCATAAAACTAATAAAAAGTGTTACATTGATGCAGGTTTTGCTGAAGCCATGGACATGACACCATGTGTACCGATGTATTGGGTACAAATATATACCTATATACAGATCCGGAGAAACGTGTAGATACACACAAGCAAGGATACAGCACACATATAATACCTGGTAGAGATCCATGGTTAACATTCGTGAAACCCCAGAGTTTGTAGCTCAGGCCTCGTGTGGTAGACGACCACAATCACACAACACCATATATATATACCTAATCAAACAACGCGTGTGGATATATGCAAGTATACACTCTAACACACGTGACTCTTGCACACACGAACAAGATCGAGACACAAGGATGGGCAGCCAGTCATACCTTGTATTAGAAAGCCAGGCTTTACTTGGTGAAACTCGACGCCTTTGTAGTTAAGGTCCAGTCCATTGGAACTCTTACCCTTCTCGCCAGTACATATACATCGGAAATTGGTTGCTGTGCGTGGCGTTATATTGTTGAATAGTTCGAATACGATCCTCCCTGCCTGAATTGTGATACGATAGTTAAATTAGATAACAGGTGCATTTGCTGGGCGTAGTGTGAGTTATTTTCGGATAATAATATAAATTCACTGATAAAGAGAGGGAAATGACAATATAGCCCGAAATAACATGTTTACATTCAGTATTCCAAAGGATGAGTATCGGGGGTTATTGGTTGCGTAGTGTGATACGAGATAGATTCTTTTCCCTTATAATATAGGTTGATGAACTTATGGATATAGAGTTAAAAAATTGTTCTCCCATCCTTCCTACGTCAACCAGCACCGTGTATGTGTATACGAACAAAACAAAACACAAAATTTACTGCCAATGACACAAAATAGCTTATCGCATCACACGTTGCGTTCACGGTGACTCCCCAATATACAAATAGTATACTTACCGCTTCTCCTCCGATGGAAATGTCCATGTACACGCGCGTGTTTGTGGGCGCAGTGGCTTTGTCCGTTGTCACGAGCGGTAGGGTGAGTTTGCGCCGATCGTCTCTGAAGTACTTGAGTCCAAAGTACAGAAACACTAGAACACCCAGTATCTTCTTGGGGTCTTCGGTCCAGGACAGATAGTTGGGTTCCATAATATCAAATACCTCTACATCGTATATCAGAACATCGCCGGGATACACCGAGTCACCGTACGACGCACCGGTCCGTTTCTCGCTCGGAATGAAGAACCTGACATGCGACAAAAATAGCTAGGCAATTAGTCATCAAAATGTCTTTCCAGGTTGTAGCCATTTGGAATTTGTGTGCTTGTATGAGAATGCCACCAAATTGAATTGTGCCAATTTTAGCACATATCCATTTCGCGTTTGATATGAGCGATACAAATGGGACGAGATAGATTTATGCCAAAAAGGTGATTCTACATAAATGCGACCTGTCTATCTCAGCTATTCGCGTATAAAAAAGCATCGCACGGCATATAAACTCAGTATTTCGAATTTTCTCTTGATATGAAACGGCTTGCATATAAAGGTCAGGGTAGATCGAGCTCTGTGGGATATAGATAAAAATGATAGTTATATAATAGATAAGTCCACGCGTTTGAATGGAAACGCGCGAGAGTTATTCGTACAGGCCACTTGGCAACTAGCATTAGATGAAGAACTCGGGGATTGTATACCATCAGCACTAGCGCATGAACGATCTAGGCGTCCCGTCGATGAATGTCTACACAGAAGTGCCAGATTCAATTGCCTTGTTTGCGCGTATATTAGGATGTGTTCACAGACCTACCTTTGACAATCTTGAAATAAGTCTGATTCATACGTGTGCATGTGTGTTGTTCAAATTTGTGTCAGTGTGCACGACATTTTCTATCATAGTCACATACTGGAAATGATCGCCGATTTTCATCATTTGCAGGCCCTCAGTCATACCATCGTTCATACTGGTAACGGCCTTGGTCGTAGTATAACCATTCTGTATTGGGAATTGTAATTACGCCAATTATTAAGAAGAAGAAATCATTAAATTGATTTCTTCTATAGCCGGGACCCAGACACTAAACGACAATTCGAGTAAAACACTGAGACTAACGAGGACCGCACATATACGAGGCTTACACATATATATGCCAATTCAGCTGAGGAGAGGAAAAGGAGAACTGCTAATTTGGGTCAGGCTAAGAGAGAAGGCACGTACATACGCCCCGAGGGATTCTACACCTACTTCATGCTACCTAAGCATCATTACCATATCAGGCATATACGAGCACTATTTTTGTTGTGCAGTCGTATCAAATACAGACATTCTTTCTCGGACTAAGAATATTGTAAGCCATAGCAGAATTGAAGTACATGTTTTTTTGTTAGTGTACGAATAAACAACGATATAGTCATACGAGTGTGCGCATATAAACGTATATATACTTCTATGTGTTATGTATGTGTCTGCTCACTGAATAGGTGAAAGCAGGAGCACTCTCACAGAGTACACAAGCGGATCATACTCGCCGTATAAAACTAAACCTACCCTCCTGGTGTTGACAACCTCCGAACCATCGGATAAGGTAATTATAAGGTGAGCCTCTATTGAATCTTGTATATTTGCGTAGTTCCCGTCCTCATCGCCTCGGTGTAATACCTGAGACCGCGAGTTTATCATTTAAAACGTTGAGTGCAGATAGATTCGCCGAGATGTCTAACATACAAAGCACTTACGTCAGAAATGATTTTATGAAGTCCTCACAATCAGGATCTGAAAGAATAATTTTGTATTTGCAACATCCAACCCCTAGCACAATTTACAGTTTGCTATGCAGGCAGAGACCAACCGTTTAAGTATTGATCACGTACATATATCGAAATATACAGAATATATATTGGAAGAAATAAGAATGAATAAATACATACACATATTATACTGAAAAATATACGAACCCAAAGATACATGTATTGCGAAACTAGTCGTAAATATCTGTATGTAAATATAGAACTATAAACCTCCGTA